TCGTAAGCCATACATCGATCAAAACAAACTATACACAAAACTAATACTGTCTCTTTTTACAACTATAGGGCTCTGGCCTCAAGAATGGTACGCGGGAGTGAAAGAGATAGCCGTCAAGTCTCCCTTCCTCGTCTCTCAGACTTCACTGCGCTCGGAAATGCGCGAACTTCAGTACACGTCAGCTGTCAGGAACGATTCTGTGTCACAAATTGAGTTGCAGGAGTTGAAGACTCAGATCCTGAACTTGTTGGAACATCCTGCTGATGTGACTGTTATTGTCAACAAGTTGACGTTTGCGCCGTGCATGTATTTACTGAGTGTTTATTGGCTGGAGACTTTAAGGTGAGAAGAATATTGTAATGTTATGATATTTTGAGCCACCCTCTTCAGTGCGTGTTTTGTCCTACATAATGAACAAAAACATGTTAACATTTAAAAAAAAAATGTCTATAATAAAAATTGTTTCACTACACCTTTTTGCTTGCATCAACAATGTTTTTGCTTTCTATGCCCGGTGGAAAACAAGTACGTAGTGAAAAAATTATTTGTGTAGACAATTTTGTTGAATGTTGACATGTTTTTGATGATTGTGTAGTGTAAAACATGCACTAGAGACCCGGCTTTAGTACTTACCTCCATGGTTTTAAATTAAACAATTTTATGTACACAAATGCGTGATTTTTTAATCGTATTATATATTTTAGGGTTACGAACTCTCCAGAGCCGAGTTTACAGCCGATCATAGAGTATTTGAGTGACACCGCGCTTCAGAAAGACAAGAGTGGGATGTGGCAATGTGTTGCCAGGTAAGAATTATTTTTAAGGCTACACAATTGAGCTGTTTTTTATGAAGTTGTGTCTTGCAATTACATTTCTTTTAAATGAATGTTTCGAAATCTTGTTACACACTTGTTTTGTTGTCTTCTTGACTCTTTTGTGCGTTTTTAACATATTGATTCTACACACATATTATAAACATTTTATCCATCTGAAATAATTCACAATTTGAAAAAGTTGTATACATAGACGATAGGTGTGTGATTCAAACCAAAAAAATATTATTACAGCGTCGGCGATAAAGTATTCCAAAAGTTCCTTGACGTAATGTCAGAGAAGGTCAAAGACGAGTCCCGGGAGAGAGAGCTAGAGAGTCACGCCCAGTTCCTACTGGTGAACTTCAACCACATCCACAAGCAAATCAGAAGGGTCGCCGACAAGTGGCTGGCCGGCTTGGTGGACAGATTTCCTCATCTCTTATGGAACTGTAGGGTAAGTTGACAACAGACTTCTTTAAAGAGAGCTGGAAAGCCACGACCTATTTCTGATGGTGACCTGTATTTCACCTGATGGAAAGCGATAACCAGACGGAAGGTTGAAAGCGAGCGTCACCCAGAATCTTCAACCCTGAGGAACTGGCTATTATATCTCCAACTGCCGAAACACAACAATGCAATCATTGTTGTTATACGACGATGATGATGTGATGTTTGACAAATCCTGAGTTAATAATAATAATAGTTCTTGGAAGGCTTCTCTCAGGCTCCATATGCTTCCCTGGAATCTTCCCAATATAGTGGTTTATGCCAACTTGCAATCACTACCTTATCTTAGACGTTATGATTTTTTTCAGTCTCAACGAATAATTTAATAAATTCACAGGTGCTATGGTCAATGCTGGACATCCTTCAAGTGTTGAGCTTCAGTCTGGAACTTGACGCGAACCAAGAAACACCTCTGTTGAAGGTGCCCGGCACTGACTTCACTCTACAGCTGCAAGACACGTTGGAAGGGAGAGAGGTACGTATTGTGATTGAAATATGGGTTAGAATTGCGTGACGACTTTGTTAAAATAATATTGACATTGTATGCTCTATTATCTTATCCTCTTTAAGGACGTAGTACACTTAACAACGTCAATGTAACCGTATCAACTCGAGGCGGTCAGTATTCTTCGAATGAAACTCCATACTGCAACGCATACTTATCCGCACCGTAACGTAAACGCCTCGCCTCGAAGTTGACAGCGTGCGAAAGGCGATACGCTGTTTATCCCTTTCCTAGTTGATAAGTCGGCTATGACCTTTATCGTTAAGATACCATGAAGTGACTGTGTTTCATGTACATAAATGTAGCACCTACGGAACTTGCTTTAATTACGGGCGGGGCGCACAAGGTTCGTAGAATAATTTATTGATAACCATTGAGGCAGAAAAGTTCTCGATATAGTGATGGTTCGGGACTATACCCACCTCTCGTTCTTACCTCTGAAACTCCTGTGTAGCCAGGATCTACAGCTTGACCGCCACAAAAACCCAACCAATGAAGGTCAAGTTTATTCCGGGGGAAAGTTAAACTGTCATTGGACCCGCAACGAAATTAATCAGAAGAACATAGGAGGAGTTCGAAATTAAAGTAGTATAATGTAGGTTGTAGGTTCGTCGGCCGTTTGGTGTAGTGGTTCAGAACGGACTACTATGCCGAGAGGTCCCGGGTTCGATTCCCGGCCGGGCAGAAATTGAAATGTTGAATTTTAATTTCTGTGACGGGTCTGGGTGTTACTATGTATATTATGTATGTATTTAAAAAAAAAAAGTATATAAGTAGTATATCCGTTAAGCTAGCACCCATAACACAAGCATTAAATTGCTTACTTTGGGGCTAGCTGGCGCTGTGTGAAATTGTCCAAAGATTTATTTATTATTATTATTTATTATTATAGGAGGTACCCGGATGCGGGTAGCGCAGGCCCAGACTTTGTGGAAATCTTTGTTTTTTTATTATTAGTAGACGTGTTTCGTTGAAACAAACCATAATACTGCTATTATTATTTTATAGAGCATTGTAAAAGACTTCGCGGACCGCTGCCATGGTATTGTTCAAGAGGCTATGAAGTGGGCGCCCCAGTCGACAAGGTCGCACTTGCAAGAATACCTCAACCAGGTAAGTTTTATCCTATATGCATACGCAAAATTACCTTAGTGACTGTAACTTGCATTTATTATTGCATTTAAGACCTTAATAGGATATTATTAGCGTGTCTGAAAAAAATAAATTATGTGACTAAACGCGTTGATAATAATTTTCAAACAAGATGTAAAAAGGTGGATTTAAAAATTTTGCCTCACCCAAACTCCATGCTCAAAAGCCATGTGATTTCCTCATAAATGTGTTGCTTTCGATACAGCTTGTGTGCAGCCTAATGGCAGCGATTCGATTTGAAACTGTAAAATCTTCTAGATCCCAAACTCAACGCTCTGGCACCACTGTGGTCTATCCTTATCCACGGGCGCGTTATTAGGCGCTACAGGCCTCAAATTCTAGCACTTAAAACACGTGTATATGCCAAATTGTCAGTATTTGATTTCAAACTTTAAAATCTTCTTCTAGGTTCCAAACTCTACACTCTGGCACCACTGTGGCCTGGCATTAGCTACGGGCGCGTTATTAGGCGCTGCAGGCCTCAATCGTATGTCGGCGCCTTTACCCCGCGCTGCGTTGGACAAGCGGCCGCCTTGCGTGACTCAAGACTCGGCTGCTTTGTTGGCTGTAGTATCACAACGAAGTCGGTATGCGGGCGAGGTGAGATGAACCTTTATTACTATATTCTGTCTCAAGTAGACTCAAATAGAATTACGTTAGAACGTCAAATGTTTCGGCCAAGTTGGTCTCAATCGTATGTCGACGCCTTTACCCCGCGCTGCGTTGGACAAGCGGCCGCTTTGTGTGACTCAAGACTCCGCTGCTTTGTTGGCTGTAGTATCACAAAGGAGTCGATATGCTGGAGAGGTAAGACAACCCTTTGTAAGTAACTTTTCTCTCAAGTAGCCTCAACACGAACTACGTTAGTAGAACGTCAAATATTTCGGCCAAGTTGGTCTCAATCGTATGTCAGCGCCTTTACCCCGAGCTGCGTTGGACAAGGGGCCGCTTTGAGTGACTCAAGACTCGGCTGCTTTATTGGCTGTAGTGTCGCAACGAAGTCTATATGCGGGCGAGGTGAGATGAACCTTTATTACTATATTCCGTCTCAAGTAGACTCAAATAGAATTACGTTAGAACGTCAAATGTTTCGGCCGAGTTGGTCTCAATCGTATGTCGGCGCCTTTACCCCGCGCTGCGTTGGACAAGCGGCCGCCTTGTGTGACTCAAGACTCCGATGCTTTGTTGGCTGTGGTATCGCAATGAAGTAGATATGTTGGCGAGGTGAGATGAACTTTAAAAGCAGAGTAATAAGGACCAGTTTAGTTTTTAGATTTGGAGTGCGGCTTTGTTGGCCGTTGCATCCAGGGTTGCATGATTTAAATCACGATTTTTATTGCATGATTTTTTTAATAACAATCACTGATTTAAATCAATATACTAAAATGGAATTAATGCAACGCTGGGAGTGCACATTAATCAATTGTAATGTTCAAAACAATGTTAATATTAGGTGTTCAAGTATGAAATAGACGTTCTGTATGGAAAATTAGAAAAAAATATTTT